GAGTTTCCGAGGGGAAAGAAGCGACCGTTTGTATCGGAGCTTGGCTGTGGACTGGCTCTTTCTAGCACAGAGAACATAGAGCCTCGGCACATTGCCTCTGGCGTGTCGAGGTGGGGGACACTCTGACCCAATTCCCGGACGTTCACCCGCAGTTCACCGCGTGAAAGTGAGAGTCCCCCTTGCGCGCACTGGCGCTCCTCGACCGTCTCCCTCTTCAGGTTCTCTCTCTCTCTCTCTCTCTCTCTCTCTCTCTCTCTCTCTGTCTTTCTCGCGCGCGCGCTCGAGTGAACCCTAGATGATGTCCTCCTCGTCGTATTTACCGCGAGCGCTACCATAGAGGCTCGCGGGCGCTCTACTAACGGGTTTCTTCCCTCCCTTCTCCCCACCTTCCGCCAAGAGAAGCTACCCTCACCGAACGACCTGCCCTACCTCCACCTCCCGGTTCCTACCCTCGCGCTGATACCCCTCTAACACACCCATCCACTCGCGAATAAGCGCGAATATAGAAACCCTTTGCACACCTTTTTCGTCTCTTCCGCGAACTCGCGTCTCTCTAATCGTTACACCCAGAGACGTTTCACCCAGTGCGAAGCAAAGGTAGGAGAGAAGATGGTGGTATGTAGGAGAGGGAGAGAGAGGGGGGAGAGAGAGAGAGAGAGAGAGAGAGAGAGAGAGAGGAGAAGGAGGCGAGTTGAAATGAATAAAAATTGGGAAAGGGATAGGTCAGTGCGAAGGTACTTCCCGTCGTGTGGTCGGTCAACGACCTCGCTAGACGATTACGTAACGCGTACGAAGCGTGGGGGACTCTTCGTGAAGCTTCTGTTTGTCGTCGCCGTCGTCGTCGTCGTCGTCGTCGCCGTCGTCATCGTCGCGATCGTGTCGACGGCCACACGGCGGTGTGTACGCATACGAAAAGTTAGCGATGCTCGTCGGCGAGTAACTCCGCCGTGACGTCAGACGCGCGACCTCGCCTACCTCAACTTCGTGCGCTGCCGCGTTGAGAGAACGAGATGTACCGTTGCACCTCCGCGCCCGGGCTGTCAATCGGCGCGAGGCGTTTGACGCGAGTCAATGAACTGTCAGCGCCGGCAATGCCGAGCCTCGCTGCCTCTCCGAGACGATTCTTCGATCGATCGACTTTTCGGACGAGAAAGCAGCGAGGTGTTTCGCGCGCGCGCGCGCGAGACGTCGTGCGACACGAATTCGGCCGATTTATGATCGTGATGTTTCTTCCTCGGTTCAACGCCAATCTTTCTACTGCTCTCTCGCGAGAGCTGCAAACTCTGTCGAGATCCCACGGTTTCGAGAGCGATTATTATCAATTCGGCGGAGCGCGTCATCGCTTGGTAAATTACTGCAAAGTGCGAGTATCGGGCCATGAGCTCTACCCATCGCGGATGCCCGGACGAGGCCAGCAACCCCTGTTGAACCTGTCTGTCGACGGGAATCCGACGAGCGAAGGGTGAAGGAGGAGGAGGAGGAGGAGGAGGAGGAGGAGGTGTGTGGGGGAATGCGGTGCATCGATCTCTCGAACCGTGCATGGCCCGTGACGGGTCAGGGGGCGATCACCTTCGCGCGCAAGCTACCTCAAGTTGCGAGTGAAGTTCCTTTGCGCACGCGTTCTTCCAGTCCTGTCCCCGTGTGAGAGACGCGACAAGCGCGACGGAGAGAATCTCAACAATTA